CCCCCGGTGGACAATAATTAATTAAGGAACGAGACCTTGCTACTCTAATAATAATTGTTGTACATATCGCATATAGGTTTACGGTACGAGAGAGAAAGAGAGAGGAATCGTTCGCCGCTGTGTCTTTGTTCCGCGGAGGCTAGTTGCAAAGCGTACGCGATGTCCTATTTAACGCCTGTCACGCACGCGGAAAGATCACATCGAGGTCCAATCGCATCGCACAACAACTCCGTTGTATCGATCGTATCCTTTCGTCGGTCTTTTCTAGTCGAAGAAATGAGACGCGACGATACAACCATTGACTACGGTTTCCGCGATAATCGTGCAGGCTTGTCTACGAAATGTGCAGCCATGGACTTGAAGAAATAAATTACACGTAATCTTATGTGATAATATTAATAAAGTGAAAAATAGATCGAATCCTTTCTTGATAGGATTCGCAAAGGAGCGATATGAAGGGGATAAAAAATGGAAAGAGAAAATTTCTCTTCTTTTTTCTTCTCTCTTATCAAACATTAAGAGAATGTCCAACTCTCTGATGTTCTTTCCAAAAAACTACACAGACGAACGCGTTATATGGAAGGAAATTCTTCAATCATAAATCACGCGTACACATATAATATAAAATTATGACATAATATATTATAACGTATTATAATATATTATAACGTATTATAATATATTATAACGTATTATAATATATTATAACGTAAGAGACACTTTAGAAATATTTTAAAAGTAATCCATCCATGTTTTGATTATATTATGCGACTATTCATATTTGAATAGATTGTTCGCTTGCTTGTGCGACTGCTGACTTGTTTGTAACGGGAACTTTCATTTTATTTCTTCAAGTCTGTGTGTGTGTGTGTATATGTATGATGTGACGTTGCAGATGCACATACGCGGAAAACAGGAATAATCGTGCCTTCGAATTCCGTAGAGCGTACGAAAGACACGCGCGGCTCTCCCGCGCTGGTGTGAACTCCACGATATTAAATTATGCGTCGACGGGAGTGCGCGCGCGACGTTTCTCCGAACGGACGGATGATCAAGTGCTGGGTTTAGCGCGACGTGTAATTTAATGTAATATGTAACATGTAACGTGTAATGTAGTGTAACGTATGTAAGGCGAAGAGACGACGAGTGGGCGAGATATGTAATCTGTACGGTCGACGGGAGCATCAGAGAATTCGTCCTCACGGCCCACGATGCATCGTTCCATACATAGACATTCCATTACGTATGGCGCCAACTCTCCGCATCCCCTCACCCCTCAATCGCCGCCACGATTTGCGGCGTTTTAGTTTGCCCCTCTGACAAATCACCCGCTAATTACCAAGCTAGCGTGTAATCGTTGTTTACGTTTAATCTCTAGGTGTGTGCATATCGAACGCCTTTAATTAAATTAAGTACTCGGCGCGGGGCGGTAGGACGGTTCTCTGGCCTCTTCTCTGCCAAAGCCAAAATAATGTTTTAGATAATCGCGTGATACATGCGCGCGGAAGACGTAACAACGGCGTATTATTATTATTGTGAGAAAGTGAGAAGGGAAGAGAAAGATGCGAGGAGTTATTCGCGAGCGCGTCTTTGCAATATTTGTTGCCGGTGATATACCAGTGTCTCTTCTTATTTTTATTATTATTATTATTTTTTCTCTTTTTGTATTTTTGTTCTACGGTCAGGAAGGACATTACCGGTGAAAGATCGGGGTATGATTAGAGTTCTCTCGTAGAATCGTCGTCGGAGCTCCGTTTGATCTTATCGTTCGTGTGGGAGAAAATGTAAATGTAAATACTCCTGTAGCGCGTTCTCTGTCCGCTCATCTCTCGCGCGCCGTTTCGCGCAGCGGCTCTAATAATTATGATAATAATAATGATAATTGTCTCTTCTCTCGCGAATTTTTGTACAAACTGTTTTTACATATTTTTTTTTATATCGCGTAAGTTAGCTCTATTGCTACGTACTTTTTTCTCTTTATAAGACGAATCGCATTACGATTAATCATGTCCTCCCCCCTTATCATATTATCACGTAAACGTTATTATGTATATTTCGTGCGATTCGCTGTCGCATTGAGGGATCGCATCGTTATGCGTCCGATTACATAGACTGGCATTAATTTTCATCCCTGGACTGTTGTAGATGATTCTGAAGGTTTTTGGCGCGCTGAAACCAAATACGTTGTAAAAAATGCTCCATCACGTCAGGTTTCCAAAATATCCTAATCTAAAGACGTCAAAAAGGTCATTTTTAGATAATCACTTTTAGATAAATCTGATAGCATACAAAAAGTTTAACATAGATATATAGAATATTTATTTTCTGATTTATCGAACATAAGAATATTGACTTTAATATATTTTTCCATACTAAGGTCAAATCCAATTGGCTCAATTGGCCTATCACTTCTCGCTTCAGATTTATTATAACTTCAAAATAATTGAAAAATGGTCATTTTGGTTAGAATATCTCGTGACTAGAATTAGCTTAGAATATCTCGTGATAGGACAGTTTAGGCAACGGATTTTATTTTAGAATGCTGAAAACTTTCAGGATCACCTATACAGGTCTGGGAATCAGAGCAGAAGTCAAAATTTGTCAGCCTGTGTTATCCATGCGAGTCCGGATCGCGCGTAAGCGGTGTGACGGAGCTTCTTTTTTTCCGGTCGTGGAGCGTATTATAATGGGTCCAACGTCAATTTCCGTGTGCTTTGCGAGCGTGTATTCTCGGGAGAGGATCATCTTGTCTTGTTTTTTTTTTATTTTTGTCTTTTTTTTTTTATACATGTACCACTTTGTAACGAATTACATATCTCTAGACTGCCATCGCATACATATCGTCGAAATCACGCGAATTTTGCGAAACAATGACATTAAGAGTATGTAAACAGAATTTAAACAGAGTATAGAAGAAAGATTAAGGGTATTTTTTAAGAGAAGGCTATATATATAAATATATATATTTAAATAATCTCTCGTAATACACACTGCGTCACAAGTGTAACGATCACCGATCGCCACAATGCAACTAAAAGTACAATTCTTAAAGGTAAATGAAATTCTAACAAGAAGTATCGACTCAAGATCTGTAATTAATTTGTAAACGAGTAAGCAATATGTAGATATTAATATGTTGACTGGTTGGGCGAGCGCGAAAGCGATTTTTACCGTCTGTTCGAAATTTAACGAAGCAAAACTTGCTCTCTGACGCACCATCATTTCTGTGTTAAAGAAGAAAAAAGAAACGATAGTTCTAAGTATTGCTCTATAATAATTTACAATTATTTACGATAAGAGTTAGACACAATAAATATATATACACAAAACACACATACAGATACACACCGTTTATTGCGATAGATCTTGTTATTCCTTGTAACTTGTAAAAAGTACTGAATTTTATTAAGATTAACTATTCCCGTAAGCGAACTTTAAGGATTTGTTCGGTCCTATTATATCCTACCCCCGCTATCCACTCCCATATTTTTATAAATAAGTTATGTCTTTTAAACAGATGTAATAATAAAGATAATCTAACATCTATAATTATGTGATTTTCCTTTGTTATATCTATTTCTGTATCTTGTCCTTTGTTTTTCCTTATTGGAAATAATGCTGCATCTAACTCTTCTTTGAATTATTAAAAAATAATTGTCTACGTAACATGCTACAAAAAAATGCTAAAGTAAATAATAAAGTCCAAAAATGTAAATAACGTAAAAGCGATCGTCACTGACACGATCACGATAACGTTATCCTTTATGTGTAGTGAAACGTTTTATATAGACATTAGCTTCTGCAAGCCTATTCTACAATGGTAGTGATAAGAAGTAGGAAATAAGAATGAGGAATTGACCTATCGCGATCAAATGTCAGAAGAATAATCAACTATTAATAACAATAATGACACGAAGAGTCAAAAAGCAGGTGATAAGCGCCAACATTTACATAAATCAATTAAGATTATATTTCTTTTCTTTAATCTGCCGAACGTTTCGACCATTGGATGTGGCCTTCTTCAAGCGATTGTCAATTACAAACGCTTTTGTCAATAAAGAATGATCATAACAATTCCCATTCGCCGTTAATGTGGTTGTGGAAGTGAAATCCGTCACATCATTGTTCGCTAGCTACTCAATCATACAATGGTAAAACCGAATAAGTTGAAATGGTCAAAAAGGTAAAAAAGTTAAGAAAAAAGTCGCAAAGATTAAACCAAAGATACCA